TTATTGAGAAATGTATTTATGTCTGTTTGGGAAGGGGTATTTTCAGAAGTGTATAATTTTTCATAAAAGTCCTTGAATATATTGTTGATTTCTATTGGTGACTGTGTTTGCTTCCCTGCTGAATTTTTCATGCTGACAATGGCTGTTTTCTCCTGATTTTGTTTAAGTTGGTTCGCCAGATATTTACTTGATTTATTGCTATGCTGGAATGATTCTTGACGGAGTCTTTGGATTATGAATTGTGTTTTTTTGTTTATAATTTCATTTATTTGGAGTCTGTCCATCCATCCATCCATTTTCTTCCGCTTTATCCGTTGCCGGGTCGCGGGGCAGCAGTCTAAGCAGAGACGCCCAGACTTCCCTATCCACACACACTTCCTCCAGCTCGTCATAGTCCCTCCAGCGTGTCCTAGGTCTTCCGCGGGGCCTCCTCCCGGTGGGACGTGCCCGGAACACCTCCCCAGGGAGGCGTTCAGGAGGCATCCGGAACAGATGCCCGAGCCACCTCAACTGGTTCCTCTCGACGTGGAGAAGCAGCGGCTCTACTCCGAGCTCCTCCCGTGTGACTGAGCTCCTCACCCTATCTCTAAAGCCTAGCGTACATCGGACTGGCAACTGATTATATCCGTCGCCTCTGAGTTGCTGCCCCGCACACATCGACAATCTGGCGAAAACGGGCAACTCTGAGTCGCAGGCCAGTCTCTTGAATAACAGCGCGTACATCGACAGCAACTGGCCTCAACTACAGTGTGTTTTCTGACATAAACTGTTGCGGGCGCGCTATACACGCAATACACACACGTTGTCGGAGCGGCGCATGGAGCGCGCACATCGGAGCAACTGAGGACAACTAGTTGCCGAAAAGTAGAACACGGGCAACTGACTGGAACTGGAGACCGACTGATCATCTCCAGTTGTAAGAGCGCGCACATCGACCGATTTCGGCAACTGATCATCTCCCACCATCTCCTCTCAGTTGCCAAAAGCCGCCTTGCAACTAGTTGTCCCCAGTTTCTCTGTCGATGTACGCTAGGCTTAAGGGAGCGCCCAGCCACTCTGCGGAGGAAGCTCATTTCGACCGCTTGTATCCGCGATCTCGTTCTTTCGGTCATTACCCAAAGCTCATGACCATAGGTGAGGGAGGGAACGAAGATTGACCGGTAAATCGAGAGCTTTGCCTTTCGGCTCAGCTCCCTCTTCACCACAACGGTCCGATACAGCGACCGCATCACTGCGCACGCTGCACCGATCCGCCTGTCAATCTCACGCTCCATTCTTCCCTCACTCGTGAACAAGACCCCGAGATACTTGAACTCCTCCACTTGAGGAAGGACCTCTCCACCCACCTGCAGAGGGCAAGGCACCTTTTTCCAGTCGAGCACCATAGCCTCGGATTTGGAGGTGCTGATTCTCATCCCAGCCGCTTCACACTCGGCTGCAAACCGTCCCAGTGCATGCTGCAGGTCCTGGTTCGTTGGAGCCAACAGGACAACATCGTCCGCAAACAGCAGAGATGAAATCCTGTGGTCTCCGAACCGGACCCCCTCCGACCCCTGGCTGCGCCTAGATATTCTGTCCATAAATACAGTGAACAGAACCGGTGACAAAGGGCAGCCCTGTCGGAGGCCAACATTCACCGGGAACATGTCTGACTTACTGCCGGCAATGCGAACACAGCTCTGGCTCCGGTCATACAGGGATTGGATGGCCCTCAGCAGAGGACCTCCGACCCCGTACTCCCGGAGAACCCCCCAAAGGACACCCCGGGGAACACAGTCGAACGCCTTCTCCAAATCCACAAAGCACATGTGGACAGGTTGGGCGAACTCCCATGAACCCTCGAGTATCCGATGGAGAGTATAGAGCTGGTCCAGTGTTCCGCGACCGGGACGAAAACCACACTGCTCCTCCTGGATCCGAGATTCGACCATCGGCCGTAGCCTCCTCTCCAGTACCTTGGAGTAGACCTTACCGGGGAGGCTGAGGAGTGTGATCCCACGATAATTGGAACACACCCTCCGGTCCCCCTTCTTGTAGAGAGGGACCACCACCCCGGTCTGCCACTCCATTGGCACTGCCCCCGATCGCCACGCGATGTTGCAGAGACGTGTCAGCCAAGACAGTCCTACAACATCCAGAGACTTTAGATAATCAGGGCGGATCTCATCCACACCCGGAGCCTTGCCACCATGGAGGCTACCAACCACCTTGGTGACCTCAGCCAGGGAGATGGATGTATCCGCCCCAACATCCTCAGCCTCTGCCTCTGAAACAGAGGACGTGACGGGGGGATTGAGGAGAACCTCAAAGTATTCCTTCCACCGCCCGACAATATCCCCAGTCGAGGTCAGCAGCTCTCCACCCGCACCGTACATGGTGTTGGCAAAGAACTGCTTCCCCCTCCTGAGGCGCCGGATGGTTTGCCAGAATCTCTTCGAGGCCGACCGATAGTCATGCTCCATGGACTCTCCGAACTCCTCCCAGTCCCGGGTTTTTGCCTCTGCAACAGCCCGGGCCGCGGCACGCTTGGCCTGCCGGTACTGGACAGCTGCCTCAGGAGTCCCCCGAACCATCATGGCTCGATAGGACTCCTTCTTCAGCCTGACAGCATCCCTTACTGCCGGTGTCCACCACCGGGTTCGGGGGTTGCCGCCGGGACCAGCACCAGAGACCTTGCGACCACAGCTACGAGCCGCCGCATCGGCGATTGAGGCAGAGAACATGGTCCACTCGGACTCCATGTCCCCCTCCTCCGCCGGGACCTGGGAGAAACTCTCCCGGAGGTGTGAGTTGAAAGTCCGTCTGACAGGGGGCTCAGCGAGACGTTCCCAGCAGACCCTCACTATACGCTTGGGTCTGCCAGGTCTGACCGGCTTCTTCCCCTGCCAGCGGATCCAACTCACGACCAGGTGATGATCGGTTGACAGCTCCGCCCCTCTCTTTAACCGAGTGTCCGAGACACGCGGTCGAAGGTCAGATGATACGACAACAAAGTCGATCATCGACCTCCGGCCTAGGGTGTCCTGGTGCCACGTGCACTGGTGGACACCTTTGTGCTCGAACATGGTGTTCGTGATGGACAAACTGTGACTGGCACAGAAGTCCAACAACTGAACACCGCTCGGGTTCAGATCAGGGGGGCCGCTCTTCCCGATCACCCCTCTCCAAGTGTCACTGGCGTTTCCCACATGGGCGTTGAAGTCCCCCAGGAGAATAACGGAGTCCCCGGGCGGTGCACCGTCCAGTACCCCTCCCAAGGACTCCAAGAAGGCCGGGTACTCTGCACTGCTGTTAGGCCCGTAGGCCGTCACAACAATGAGAGACTTGTCCCCCACCCGGAGGCGGAGGGACGCGACCCTCTCATTCACCGGGGAGAACTCCAACACGTGGCGGCTGAGATGGGGGGCAATGAGAATGGCCACCCCAGCTCGCCGCCTCTCCCCGCGGGAAACTCCAGAAAAGTGGAGCGTCCAACCCCTCTCAAGGAGTTGGGTTCCAGAGCCCAAGCTGTGTGTGGAGGTGAGGCCGACTATCTCTAGTCGGTATCGCTCAACCTCCCCCACAAGCTCGGGCTCCTTGTTTGGAGTCTGCATTTACGCAATTCTTTTCCTGTTTTTTCCGTAGGATTACTTGCATGAATGATTTCTAGTTGTTTGATTTGTTTTTCCAATTCTAACTGTTGCTGTTGTTCTTTCTTCTTTTTGTATGTCAAGTATGAAATAATTATACCTCTTAACACTGCTTTTCCTGTTTCCCATAGAATAGAAGGCGATGAGGAATCATTTATTTCCAGGAAAGATGTCCACTCTCTCCTAATAAGGCTATCAAACTCCTGGTCATTTAAAAGGGAAGTGTTGAAGCGCCATCTTGTTGATGTATGTATTCTGTCAAGGTGAGAATGATTCCAGGTAAATGTTGCAGGGGCATGATCACTTATAATGATGGGGTGGATCGTTGATTTAGAGATGTTTGATAAAATGGAATTACTAAGGAGAAAGAAGTCAATTCGTGAATATGATTTGTGAACAGGGGAGTAAAATGAATATTCTCTTGAAGTGGGGTTCTGGATCCGCCAACCATCGCCAAGGCCAAGCTCATTCATGTATTGTTCTATTATTTCGGATGAGAGTCGAGTAGTGGATGTGGTGCTGCTTTTATCAATTGATGGATTAATTACCGTATTAAAATCTCCACCCATTATCACAGGGCAGTGTGAATTCTTGGTAATTAATGAAAATAAGTTATGAAAGAATGAAGGAGTCTCAGAATTGGGACCATAAATATTTGTGATTGTAATTGGACTGTTGTTTTGTGTCTTTTTATTTGTGAGCCAACTCCTCTAATATTCCATGTTAAAAAGTTAAGCGACAACATAGCCAAGCTGGAAACAGTGACAGTGAAGATGAATATATTTTTCTGTGTGTGTGTGTGTGTGTGCGTCTGTGTGTGTGTGCGTGTGTGTGTGTGTGTGTATGCCCACAGGTTGCATAAAATAAACACATATAACATATAAACATACAAAAACAAAACAAAACTATATACATTGTCTGATTTAAGTTGGGACGGCGGGTAGCATGCCTTCCCCCATGTCGCACTTACTTATTTATATATAAATATACATATTTTCCCTTTTTCCTTTAGATAATAATAATTATATTATCATTACCACCACCATCCCTACCAATAATATAATAACAATAATAGCGGTAATAATAACAACAATAAAAGTATAAACAGGTAATATGGATTGAGAATGACCTAATAATTAAATACATTCTGAAAGAGTGATTGTATAAAAAATGGGAAGAAAAAATAAAAACATAATGAGAAGATGAATAAGCACACTAGTAAGTAGTTTAAGCTTGAAGGTTCCAAACACTAAAACTATACTGGGGAGAGAGAGAGTATGTGAAAGATTTAAAAAAAAAAAAGGAAAAAAAGAGGGGAACATTTTCAACATTTCAATAAGTTTGAGAGTTCGGGTTATTCTGATGACGTCATTATTGTGCGACCGTGTTTACCTCAATTTCCTCGTCGGCATGTCTTTGGTTTCCTCCAGTGAGCCAATAAGTTAATTTGGCGTTGCGGTAGAGTTCACCATCAATGTAAAGTTTGTCAATGGATAGTTTGGCCCTCCTTCCTGCGGTCCTGGCCTCTGTAAACACAGGCTGAAGTAGTCTTCGTCTTCGTAAAATATCCGGGGGAAACTGATTGCTCAGAGAGAGCCCTGTCCCTTTGAGCTCCCTGGCGTTCCCCATGACGATTGCCTTGTGTCTCGGATCCAGAAGTTTGGTCACGATGGGACGACTCCGGGAAGCTCCCTCACGTCGCTGGCCCAAGCGATGGGAACGAGCTAGTTGGATTTGCTCGACCATGCTGTCTTCAATTTTGAGATTTGTTTTGAGAAAGGATCGAACCAGCTGTTCTGTTGTTTGGTAAGTCTCCTTTGGTTGTTCAGGTAGACCGTGAATGATAAAGTTGTCCCGCATACTTCTGCATTGTAAATCGAGTATATTGTTTTGTGCAATGACTGAGTTATGTTGTAGATTTACTGTCACGGTTTTAAGTTGATTTATTTCCGCGCGTAGCGTCGCGTTTTCTTCCTTGAGGACGTCCACCAAAGCAACGTGATACTCCAGTGATTGCTTCAGATCTTCCACATCTTCTTTCAGTTTTTGAAGTACATCCAATTTTTTTAGTTGTTGCTGCATTATCTCCATAGATTCTCGCATTTTGCGGATATCGTTGGAGATGTCAAAGTCTGTGTCGCTGGAGCCCAGCTCACTCCTTCCTCTCTTGCTGTCAGGTTTTTGCGTCATCTCGTAAAAAGTGTCAATGTATGACTCTAAGTCATAAATGGTGTCGTTACCGGGAGGTTCCAGTTTAGAAATAGCTCGTTGTTTTGGGTTGACACCCGGTAGAAGCAACTTAAATGGGGAAGTTTCTGCTTAGTGTCTCTCACAGCACTCGACCTGCCGCCATCTTCCCTCCATCCATACATTATTGTATCTCTGATATATTTCATAACTGTTTGTGAGAATTTTTTCATGTATTTTTATTTTAGTTACAAAAGCTGTTTTGAAAACATTTAAATTAGAATCTGTGTTAAAAGTGATTATTGATCATAGACTTCGTCTAAAATGAAAGAGGGAATTAGGATTAGCTGTAAAAGTATTATATTATTGAGTTAAACTCTACCCAATTCACCCTATTCACATTGCAAGCGGTGACTTTTTTGTTTTGACTATGCACCTGACCTTGCTCCTGCTGCTGATGCGCACAGCAGAGGACACTGCTCTGAAATGTGCTTCAATTCATATTGACTTAATTTGAAAAGGCTGCAATTATTTTAAATTAGTAGAATATATGCTGAGATAAATGTTCAAGTGTAAAAGGGAAATTCCATAAAGTGATTAATCCAGTTTAGTTAATCTTTTGATTTGATTTCATGTTTTCAAGTTTTGTTTTAATGTTTTCCAAATTAATTTTCATTTTTATAGAGATTTTTCATAATTTCATTTCATGGCGTCTTTCAAGAAACCCAAGGACGCATAGATAATTAAACACACAGTACAAACGTACATAATACATATTTTAAAGTTTGAAGGTTTTTTGAGATTGAGTCTTGCTTTTTTATTAAGAGAGTTTCTGGTCTTAAAATGTCATCATTAGTAAGATAATAAGTAATCTTTATTATATAGCGCATGTTGGAAAGCCAAGAGCGCTCCAAAATTGTTTAGACTTTAGAGAGAAAAACAATCTCACTCACATACTGATATGTTGTTTTTTAAATTGACCGTCTCAAGGATTATTTTTCAGACTCTGCCACACTGTACAAGGGTCACTGCTGGACTGGACACTGAGGGATCAGAACAGTGGCCCAGAGTAGACACCCTCCAACCAGCCGCAGATCGTAAAGGCGACATAGCTACCTCCGTGTGCCCCTCCCCCCACTACAGACCGATGATCGTAGTTGGCAGTGAGACCGGGGCCACGAAAGTGGGGGTTTTCTGTAGGCAGTGGTGGGTGAGTTGTTTTGCAATCTGAAAGTGTGCCCACTTTGCTTGTTTACATCGAGCCAGTGTGACCTTCTAATGCAGGTGGTTCGAGGAGTCTGGAGACACAACCCCAAAATTCACACCCTACACACACACATACGCACTCACACAATCATACACTCACACATTCACATTTACATATAGATACATGAAAAAGAAGAACATGAGAAAAAAGCATTAAAAGTTTACTCCAATGTGAACACATTTTTTTAATTGTCTATCACTTGAGTCTTTATTTGAGACCAGAAATGTTCATTTGAATTCTATATTGTCATGGACTTAATTGGCCTGTCTTGACATTTTTTGTTTTGATTTGTTGATTTTGTACTGTGTGAAGTAATTACATTGATTAGGATTAGATCTAAAAAAACACAAATTAGAGAAGTAAACTGAATCATTGCGCTTGCTTTTGTCTGAGGGACATTAGCAACAGCATGAATAGAAATTGTCTTTAAAGTAGAATCAAAATGACTTAACCATAGAGAGTAACTACTGCATAACAAGCTGTGTACAGGAATTGTGACACTGCACCACCATTGACCAGAAGTGCATCGCAAAGAGCAACCCAAGTGACCTGAGTGCATCTGGAAACCAAAACCCTGGCTTGGACCCTATTGATGTCCAAGACGACATCTCTCGAAATATGACCTGACCTGATGAGGACTGAGACTCACCCTCAGGGGACCCTGAGGACCTGAGGACCTGAGGACCTGAGGACCTGAGGACCTGAGAGAGAAAAACTGGGGAGTGATGTTAATATTTTTAAAATCATACCATTGATGAGTGCTAAATGAGACAGATACTCATGATTCTTTCTTTTGTTTTTGTTTGTCCCTAGCTTCTGGACATCTGATGATCTATTGGACACAGCCATTTGCAGAACAAGAACCAGCCAATGAAAAATTGTCTATTGCCGATGCTATTGCACCAACCAGAACCACAACTGTGACCAAATGCAATACATGTAAAGTATTCAGACATCTGACAGACAAAAACTTTGACTTTTTAGTCTGGGAGACTGAGCAACTGTTAAAATGTTTGAAAATGATAAAGTATGAGTATTGTAGCGTTTTAGTAGATTTTAAATAGTAGTAAAAAAGTAGAATTTGATCTCTTTTGTTGTTCAGAAACACATTTCCACATAAAAGTTAAAATCATAACCATACAATGTTTTCCTTCTGATAGAGCAGCTAAAATATTAGAATCAGAATTATGTTACAGCCATTAAAAGTGACGGAAGTCACAAACTAGAAATATGCCTTGGCTCAAGCTGCAACCAGGCTTTGGAGTCACAATAGAGAGAAATAGAAATAGATAAAAACATCAACCATAGATGCTTTCAAAAATAGAGAATATTTCTAGCCAGTGCTAATATCAAATGGTAGATACATCTGTGAATGTTGACAATGCAAAAAATTCATGAGTGTAGTCTAAATTAATGCCTAGATTAATGAGATAGATTAGAACCAACAGAGATTCAAAAGCATTTAAAAGCATTTTAATGCATTTGGGTATAGCCCAAAAACAAATAGTAGATATTTAGATATTGATAAGTTTAAAAGCTGTCGATTTGCCAGCACAGATTAGAGAATCAAACACCATTGTAGAATAACTGACCCCAACCCCAAACCTGTTAAAATAGATTAGCTCTTGTAAGGATAATACCAATTCGATTAATGATGTACATCCATCCTAAACTGCCTGAGAGGAGAAAGTGAAAGCAATTCCTGGTTCAACAAATGTATTTGGAAAACTGACCGCCATAATAATGTTCATATTAACCATTTGTCTAACTGTGTTCAGTTTTATTCCTGAGAATGTAGAATAGACATAGAGCAAAATCCCATTAGCACAAAGCCACTGATAATGAGAGTAAACCACAGAGATTTATTATATTAAAATATATGTTTAAGAATATGGCTCAATAAGAATATGCAAACATATTTGTAAATAGGGTTCCAGAATAGATTAGAATAGTTTTAAACTATAGTGAATAATAAAAGTAAAGTACACAGTCTAAGATTAAAAAGTGATAATAATACAGTGAAATAAGTGAAGTGTAAACAATTAGCATTAGAATAAAAGTATAAGAAAAGTGAAATTAGCTTCTAATTTGAGACTCAGTTCGTTTTTCTCTGTATAAAGTGCTGGCCAGAGCGCTTTGACATATTCCACGGGTAGGGCAGAATTGACAATTTCTTGGTGTCGGACTGCAACACGCTGTAAGCAAAAAAAAGAATTATCAATATATATAAAACAATATCACATGATTTTTGCTCAAATGTGTTTAAAGGAGGTCTAGATTCACTCAATAACATTATCAAGCAATGGACTTTATTCACCATATTGCTGGGTTGAAGTGACAAAAATAAAAAATAAATGAACAGAAAGACTAATGTGACAAATGAGATGAAAAAGTACAACAATAAAAGTGAAAGTTTTAGCGTTCGATTGCAACATTTTCAGCTGAACCGGTGAAAAAGGCTTTGTGGAGGCAGGGGTAAGAGGTACCTGACCAAGCACATTTTCTCCTGTTTGGCTTGACCCAAATCTAATGCTGCGTTCAGACCGGATCATGCGAGTCAGTCAATGGCAACGCGCGTTCGTGCGTCAAAGCGCTTGGACCCAGCTCAGAGCAGCTTAAGCCTAGTGTAGTCGCGCGGCGCTTACGATAGTGACGTGACGTCACTTGCGCAACACGTGGCTCACCGCAAGCCCCTTACAGTAGGTCCCATTTCGTTTTGTCGTCTTCACTCACGCTTTTCATGAATCACGCAGCTGCGTGAAACATATTACATCCTATCGCCATTAGGTGGCAGGTTAAGTCCGCTTTAGCTCTGCCAGCGACTTAAACGCTCAGGTATAATAATGCGTGCAAACCTGTTTTGCCTAGTGATACTATGTTGGCCGAATGGTTAGATTTGCAGGTTAGGACCTGGGGGATCCGGGTTCGATTCTTGTCTGAGGCAGTTTAGGTTGCACACCTTTTGGTTGCTTGTGAGCAATTACGTAACGTTATCAGCTTGTTTTCTTCTTTCCTTGTCAAAAGGAAATGTCATGTTGTAAAATTGGCATTTTTATTTATGCAGTTTGGTTGGTGCTGATTGTGGAGTTGAATTCCAATTGTATTTAAAGTTTACATGTTTATCAAGCTCCACGTGCACCGGTCTGCGCTACACTCACCTGAGAGAGAGAGAGAGAGAGAGAGAGAGAGAGAAGAGAGAGACAGAGAGACAGACACAGAGAGAGAGAGAGGTGTGCGAAGGACAAACCTGCTGTTTACACAAAACTAAGAACTCTACAGACTAAGACTCATC